TTTCTTTCTTTCTTTCTTTCTTTCTTTCTTTCTTTCTTTCTTTCTTTCTTTCTTTCTTTCTTTCTTTGTTTTTTGGTCATTCGTGGGGCCTGAACTCGGGGCACTATCCCTCAGCTCTTCAGCTCAAGGCTAGTGCTCTACCACTTGAGCCACAGGGCCACTTCTGGCTTTTTCTGCTTATGTAATGCTGAGGAATTGAACCCAGGGTCTCATGCAGGCAAGGCAAGCACTCTACCACTGAGCCACCTTCCCAATACCCCAAGCCCTTTTCTTGAACCTGATGCTTTTCTTGCTGGAAGGAATTGACAACTCAGAGGCATGCCTTCTAAATGATTGGATTTTTCTGTAGGCTCCTACCCTAACAGTGAGTAAATATAGGGAGATACTCATGGCACAGACACTCACCTCTGGGAGCTGAACCACAGCCAGAAGGGGCAGAAGACCCCAGCTAAGGTCTTCAAATCACATGATTTCACTGTTACCCCACCCCACCTCACCCTACCCATCTCCAGAGGTGAACTACTTGGTGAGTTCTGAAAGAATCAAGGTATATTTCAGATAACTCTATTCCGTTGTATTGCTCCCAGGCAGGACTGAGGTCTCCAATTTGAGAATTTAGAAGTCAGGTAATGTCTACAGCTGCTTCCTTATTTCTCTTATTTCTCTTCCTCTTCCTTATTTCTTCCTCGGGAAGGCAGGGAGACAAATACTTGGGAGCATCTGAAAGCAGAGAACGAGAAGGCAGTGTACTTAGGTCCTCAGTTCTCCCTTGGTCAGCACAGAATGCAGTGTTGTGCTGGCTCTGCCTGATATCTATCCATTGCTAGTCTTGATTCCTTGCTGTCCTAGGGAAATACCAATTAGGCTGGGTTACTTCAAGGACAAGCAGGAGCCTGTCTGACTCACAGGCTGAAAAGCTCCCAGTCGCCGGCTGTGGCTCTCTGGGCTCTCTATCTACCAAGAAAGGAAACTTTGGTAGGAAAATTATCCTAGAACTGGGTCACTGAGCTACCTACAAGATACCTCCATTACTTTATCATAACTTGAGTGAGGCTGAGGATCAAGTCCAGTGCCTTGAATACTGGGCTGTTGCATGGCTACTGAGCTATACCCCAAGGGCAGTAGTAAAAAAAATATAGCACATTGATCCTCCTGCACAGAGAGGACACTTCAATGGAAGGACTGTAGATGATTGAAATTTTTAGTCAATGATGTGGCTTCAGATGTTCAAATCCCAAGGACAAACCACAGGAAATGTGGGGGGAAGGGAAGAAAACATGAAACCACTAAAATTCAAC